GGGAACGCTGGGCAAAGGGCTCTCCTTTAAGGGGTGTTAAGTGGGCACAGTGGACCACTCACTGTGCGTTCAGCTCCCTCACGGTCACCCTCCTCCTTCCTCATCAGCCTCGGTTCTCCTGCCTGACAGACACTCTCCAGGGGTCAGGCACCCCCGAGCTTGCCCACCCCACTGCACAGAAGACAGACTCAATTGAAGTTGACAAATAGTTACTAAGCTGGCGGGAGGGGGCGAGAATGCAAGGTCATCATCTGACTGGCACACACACACCCAACAATAACACAAGACAGAAGGTGGTTAGTCCTGAAATGTAGAACACACTCCATCTTCTGGGGTCCAAAGGAACAAGAGGGGGTGGCAATAGTGGGGGAGGCCCCACAATCACCATCTTCCTGCACATGTTCAGTTGCCCAACTCCCCACCCCCGTGCTTCAGGAGTCCAGCTGTGGGATCGAAACACATCTATCACAGCCCCATCCTTCCTCTGTCCCCATGTTCCTGCACCCTGATCGCCTTGCCATGCCCTCCCTCCCCCTCTGTCTGCTCCCAGCCTGCCCTCTGTCCCATGTCCGCCTGGCCCACTCTCCTCCCAGCTCCAGTCCCGGCAGCAGCTTCTATTTCCCCATCGAGTCCTCACCCCCAAATCCACTTCTGGTCTCACATTTCCAGGCTCTGAGGATCAAGGACAGCAGCGTTGCCTAGCATCCAGGACAAGACTTCCTGCCCCACTCTGGCCATCCCCAACCCGACTGAGAACAGGTAAGCACCGAATCAGAGGGGAGGAGTGGGAAGAGGGAGGTGCAGGGTGGGAAGACACAACACACTAGAGAGAGAACTAGAGGGAGGCTCTGGGAGGGGACTGGAGCCAGAGGGGGAGGGACACACCCACCCCTCCCCAGCCCACGGTCCCCCCTTTACCTAGGAGGACCCTGTGAGGGGATCCAAGCTGGCAGGACAGGGGCAGCGTTGACAGCCCCAGTCTCCTCTGGCTGCTCAGAGCTCATCCGTCTGCAAAGTTAGTGACCAGCTTTCTAGAGCTCTCGGGGTCAGCGTGGCATGGCTGAGCAGGCTCCAGGGCAGATGAGAGGGGCACACATAGTGGGGATATAGGACCAGGAGGAAGGGATGGGCTCGACCAGGTACTGGGGCCACCAGTACTCACACACACGCACACACACTCACAGACACATACACACCTGAGCTGACCCAGCCCTATGTGTGTATATATGGAGATACACACACACACCCCCAGCTCTCCATTGGCTGGCCCAGGCTCCCCCCTCATCAATATTAAACAGACAGGCCAGGCAGCCATTGGCAGAAGGACCTGGGAACCCCCCTAACCCTGGGAGCTGGGGATTG